TAGTCCTTGCAAGTTGCACAGCATTGCATGCAACTTTTCCTTCTTCCTCTTCTCAAGAGTCGAAAAAGAACGAGCGGTCATGCATCATACATAGAAGCATATTCGAGTCTGCTACGCGTACATGATTTGGCATGGCTTGTACAACATAGATAGTTTCATGGTGCCACTGGGGAACCGGGGATAATGGAACTGCTTTACATCAATGCTGGTGCTTGAGTGTACAAGAGTGATTGTATTTCGCCGAATCGACGCACGTCATTCCCTGTCCTCATATCACCCATGCGCGGACAGAAACCCGTCATTCAGAGGCCTCATCAATACGTCCCTCACGTTCAGGACAAGTAGTATTCTCCGTCAGCGCCAATCCACATTTTCCCTTTGAAGTGAGAATGTCGATACTTACATGCCCTTGCACCCTCGGCAAAAGTTCCACGAGTTCATACACTGCTCATGGCGGCAGTATTCCCAGTCCTTCTTTCCCTTCTAGTATCGGCCAGTGAATAAGTTTTCGTGTGTAGGAGAGGGGTGAGGATTACTTACGTTGTGACATGTGTTGAGCTTGTCGATACATATAGTGCACGGTTTCTTGGCGGCTGTGGTGACGTCTGTCGGTGTGGGGTCTTGGTCTGTGTTGGTGATGGAGCGCAAAGGGAGGATTGATAGTGTTGTAGGGGAGATCTGGTTAAGGGCTGTACTCGCGGTGACTAGGGCGAGGAGGCATGCTAGTATAGCGACGGATTTGATGGAGAAGTGCATGATGTTGGTTTTGGTGATTGCTGGATTTCTGTTGAGATCATGGAGTGATGGTGTGACCAGGATGGAAGCAGGATATGGAGATAGATAAACAGTATCCTACGTGTCTGGCAGTCGTCATACAAACTGAGCAGTGAGTCGCTGGCCTAGAAGCGTTTGGTGCCTGGATGTGAATTGCGCGTTGAAGTGATTAGCAAGGTGTCACATGTAAAACCTGCACACGTAAATAGTTGAACTAGTGTGACATTTGAGATGGTCTACAGGGAGATCAACCCCAAGATCTTTACTCCGAATGCAAGGGAAAATGTTACAGTATTTACAAAGACCCTCTATAGCTCGCCGTCCTTCCGCAGAGTCTCGTTACCCCAGGGCTCGCTTGTCAAGCAAGTCAATCCAGCAGCTGGCTCGCAGCTCTTCCTTCCACTCAATGGTCCTGGCGATGGCAGCTTGAGGCCGCCAGCCGCGTATTGGCGTCCCTGCTCGTTGGCGAGAGCCTCACCGGCACCGGCCTCTACATTCAGCGATCCCTTGCCCGATGCCAGACCCTTGCCTCCAGGCTGCGCACCGGTAGATTGTTCGGCTGCCTTGAGGGCCTTGAGCAGGTTGACTGTCGAGTCGTATGTGAGGTCCTCGTAGTAGTCGTCGTTGATCTGGACCATGGGCGCGTTCGCACATGCACCAAGGCATTCGACCTCGGAGAATGTGAAGAGGCCGTCTGAGGTGGTCTCGCCGTGGTGCACGCCCAATACGTCTTCGCAAGCCTTCATAACGGAGTCACTGTCGCAAAGCATGCATGGGGTCTTGATTCTGTCAGCAGCTGCCCTCAAATTCAAGTACAGTGTCTACTCACAGTTGTGCAGACCTGGACGTGGAACTTGCCCACGGGGTCCCGGTTGTACATGGTGTAGAAAGTCGCAACCTCGTATACACGCATTGGTGGCATCTCCAGTATCCGCGCAACCTCGTTCATGACGCTGATGCTGCAGAATCCGTGCTGGCGCTGTCCGAGGTCGAGGAGCGGCATCACGGCAGCCTTCTTGTATTGGGAGGGGTATCGGGAGACGATCTCTTGGATGAGTTCCTCATTTTGTGGTGTAAATTTGAAGGGAATTTTGAGGTTGTTTTGAGGCGTGTCGCGGTGCTACAGGCGTATTAGCTCGGCTTCCAGCGCAAGATGAATCAAATACATACAACGTTGAGCGAGCCGCTCTCGTTCCATGACGGTCGCGAAACGCTGAAAACCCGCCATTGAGCCCTCTGGAACTGTCGCGAGGCCCGTGGGGCAATCCTGCATGCGAGGGGGACGAGTCTTGAGGCCATGGTGGGTTGTGCTGCGGGCTGGAGGCGATGGCGTCGATTGAAGATGTCAACGATGAAGCTCATCCGAAGCGCCAAGTAAATGTGCAGGGGTCGTTGCAATCACCCGCCTCTGATTGGCCACATCCAACATCTCCACTCCGTTATACCTTCGACGCTTCCTCACTCCTTCTCCGCATAGTTCAGGTCATCCCAAGCATCGCTTCGTGTGCGTGATCGATAGCATTACCTGATCGCCGTTCTCCCGTAGCTACATGGATCCACGACCTTCGCTGCTTGAAACACATTACCGCCTTTGCTGCAGCGAGCCATGCCCAGTACAGTCGAGGCCGCCACGTAGCTATCCCCACCGACACCGTCCTCGTGCGTTTCGTCGCTGCTGCGCACTGCGGAAGCTTCATTTTTCTCTGGCATCCGCGGCAGTCTAGCCTGCGGATTCCTTTGTTGGCAACGTCCCGTATTAGTTTCTGCGCAAAAAATGGCTCGGTACAGAGCCGCATCGATGCTCGTGGAATGCGCCTACGGCGGTCAACCACGTCTGATGGAACTGTGGGTCTGCTAACACACACGCTGGGGGCACCTCGCGACATTGCATCCTTAGGAGTAGCAGTCGGTGGACTGAGAGACGCATAGGATTCTTCCCTCTGTGCCGCCGTAGGTGGAAAGATACCCTAGCCATGGTGTCTGACCAATCGGCCGCTGTTCGCCTCATTGACGGCGCTCTGCGCGGACGCAGGCTGGCTTGCCGTTTGATGAGTTGTACTAATGTTTGCACTGTCAATTCGGTATCTTCACAGGCTTACAACACCCGCCGCTTCTTCCAGCCATGTTTCAGAGTCATATGATGCCACTACGTGTACGTGTACATCACTCATGCAGCACTTCACTAGTTTATGGGGGCGGTCAACATCTGCGCCATATAAGTATCAGTTGCTGCTATCATAGCATTTCCTGATCTCCTTCAACGGCCCTTCCCTCTACCCCACTACTACGCTGCCGACCTGCACTCGCGTTCGTCTCGTGGCTCACCCACATATTCGCCCAGCATGTGCAAGTACACAATCACGATACTTGAATGCGGTCACAAAATTGATGATTATGTCGAATCTCGCGACTGCCCCTACTACCAAAGGACCACCGTACAGTGTGACCGTGACAATCCGAGGACCAAAGATCGCTGCACCGTAAAAACCAGAGACCAAAACGGAATTTGCAATAGATGTCTCCGCGACAACGAAGAAGCCGCCATGCGCCGTGACTTGGAAAAAGAAAGAGAACACAAACGCCGAGAAAACGAAGAAGCCGCAGAAGCATTACGCCGTGGGCAGGAAGAACTTAGAGAGAAGAACCGCCGGCAGGAGGAAGAAAGACGACGGGCTCAGCAAAAGGCGGACGAAGAAGCCAGGGACAGAGCCCGCCGGGAAGCGGACAGAAAGCAGCGAGCTGAAGAAGAGGCCAGGGAGAGAAGTCGCAGGGAAGCCGAAGAAAGACGCCGAGCGGATCAGAAGGCCGAAGAAGAAGCTACGGAGAAACGCCGCCGGGAAGAAGAACAACGACGTCGGGCGAGACAAAAAGCCGACGAAGAAGCTATGGAGAAGCGCCGCCGGGAAGTGGAGCAAAGACGGCGGGACGATGAGGAAGCTATGGAGAGAGACCGTAGGGAAGCGGACGAAAGGCGGCGGCAGGCCAAGAAAGAAGCCGATGAAGAAGCCATTGCGAGAAGACTTAGGGACCACGAGAGAGAGATGGCTGAAAAGGAACAGGAGATGCTAAGAAAACGCAGAGAGCATGAGAAGAAGATGGCGAAGATCGCAGAGGATGAGGAAGCTCTTGAGCGACGCCGGAGGGATTATGAGAAGAGAATAGCAGAAGAGGAAGAAATCGAGAGGCAGAGAAAGGCGGAGCTCGACCGACTGGCCAAAGAACAACGGGATCTGGATTTGATGATCCAAAAGTCCAGAGAAGAAGCAGAACGGAAGAAGAGAGAGGAGGAGGAAGAGCTGCAGCGAGCTTTGAGGGAGTCTGAAAGATGGGAGCAAGAGAAGAAGTACCGAGAGGAACTAGTAAGTTCACGTGTTGCACCACGTCCACAGCAGCAGCTAACCTCACTCTCCCACAGCTCCGATCAAGGACCGCAGCACCACCATCACCACCCGCCACACCACCTGCGCCCCCAGCCCCAGCCCCCAAACCCGCCGTCAGCAAATCTGCACCCCGCCCCCCTCCAGCACCCAAGCCTGCACCAAAAGAAATTAACTACTCTCTCCCCGCTGTTGGCGATCAAACGTATGGTCACATGATGATAGGCAGCCGCCGTGCCCCTATGCACCCCTCGCAAGAGATCCCCGGAACGCCAACAACCTCTGGAATACCCATGTCGCCCACGAGCCCGGCACCATTCGCACGTCTCGGTGGCGCCATCGCGGCTTCTGATGTCCCTGTTGTGAGGGAGGTTAGGGGCCAGATCCCGCCTGTCATGCCCGTCGCCATGGACTCGAGGGCAGGATTGAGGAGGACGAGCGAGAGCAGGAAGCCGCCGCCGCCTGTACCGCAGCGCAAGCCATCGGGCATGGAGGGCATGGATCCTGTTTTGAAGGCAAAGTTGGAGAGGCAGAGGGCGTGGGAAGCAGAAGAGGAGGAGAAGAAGGATGTTTCGCCGCCGAGGTCTCCTGGGCAAGAGCCTAACGCACGAAGGCTGAGTCCGTCTGAATTTGACACTAAACGTAAGACGGGCTGGAAGAAGGATGAGGCGTGAGCTTTTCTTGTTTTGCATTGGAGGTGTTGAGGGCGCAGTGGGCATATGACTTCATTCCTTTTGTGATATCTATCCTAAGTAGCATCTCACAATCCACCACAATTATCTCTCCATCATGGAAGAAAGTTTCTCATGTTATCCCTGGCTAGATTCTGTACTAGTACATGTTCCCGTATCAGACATCGGTGTCTATTCGGATGTAGTACTCCCGCTTCAGGAAGTTGGCGACGTGATCTACCTCGTTGTACTTGACCTTGGAGGGATCTTTGATGTTCTGGCGCCGCTGACCACACTCGTCGAGACTCTGGCACTGAGTCTAGTTAGCAGTGAGCTCCTTCATGCACACAAAACTGTGCAGTGCGTCTTCAACTTACCATGTCGGGATCACGCTTAGCGTACTCGAAGAATGCATCGACCTTCTTAATGTAGTCCGGGGTTTCGAGGTTGTTAGTTGACAGGATACGCAATGAGTCGCATGCATATCTGGCGGCGTTAGCATGCTTGTCTTCCAGCGAACGTAGAACTAAACTCACGCCGTGACATTCCCACCGATCTCCTCCTCTTCCACGACATCCATCACAAGCTTAGCAGAGACGATTCGGTCAGCATGATCGAGCTGATCGTCATCGTTGTCAGTGGAAAGAGCCGACTGGTAGTTCATCACGCGAATTTGGTTGGCTCGGCGATCGCGAAGAATGGTCGCGATGATGTCCTTCAGATCGTCGATCGTGTACGCGGCCTTGCCGTCGGTAGTGGTAATCTCCGATATGTCTGCGCTGTACAACTTCTTGAGCGACTCCTCGCTGTACGCCTTGTACCCTTCCCCGAAGTATGTACTGTCCGGGAGACGAAGGTAGAGAATCTGTGCGTTCGATAGGCCGAGTAGTGAAGAAGAGACGATAGTGTGTTTGCCGATCTGGACCGTGGTCTCATTGGCAACTGTGGTATACTGGTTAGTCTCGTTGTGCAGTATGAGGGTCTCTTGTGGCGCCTTACGTGGCGCTTCCTCGTTCGAAGAAGAGATGGACTGCGTGCCATCCGGCCTAACAGAAGCCACGTCGGACATGAAACTGTAGGCATCTTCGAGACCGCGCTCCATCTCCTGCACCCGAGTATTGTTGGCTACTTCACCACCGCTATCCGCTGTGAAGACGACCGTAGTGACGCATTTGAAAACATATAGGTCGTGGTAGAGATCTGGGTTCTGGAAGAGCAGGCTATCGACCGTATGGCCGGTGAAGTAGATAGAACCACTGCGCGCATTAGATTTGGTGACTGTGCAGAATGTGAGTCTGCCAGCTTACCCAGTGCACGGAAAGGGCGAGTCATCAGTAGCAGAAAGTGCTGCTGTTGCGAGAACCGTCAATAGCGCGGCATAGACCGAGAAGCAGCGTGGCGCAATCATGTTGTTGAGAATTGAGCGAAACAGGTGCGAAGGGATGTGAGGGATCGATGCGGCAGCGGGGGAAGGAGTGGTTAAAGAGAGGAGGGAGTGAGGGTGAGGGTGAAGTTTATCGAAATGCCAAGCTGGGACGTCTACAGAAGGAGCAGCTGCGGCGACCCTGAGGTGTAACAAGGAAGGTGCGATCCATGGCCACCTTCACCTCTGTTTTCGTACTCTTCCAAGACAGGAAGTCACGATAGAACACAGGCAGTCGAGGCAGTCTTGCAAACATTAAAAACATAACATTTCATAATAGAGTGTACGAAGGAAAAAGTATTACGCATAATTACAGGAATACAACTCAATGCAGTGATATCGTAACTTCGTTCTCATGATCCAACCCATCTCGAAACGCCTGAACACAGTAAAAAAACTCCAAGAAACATGTATTAAGTGCCTCTGTGAAACGAAAAGATATAACTCAAAAGAAAGAGAGAATCAACAAAGCAGGAGACGCTATCGAAAGATGTTTTGCAGAATACTCTCCAACTTCTCCGCCAGTGGGTCCTCAGGCTGCTGCCGCCCCTTCTCGTCGAAGCGGGGTGGAAGTTCAATGGTAGCATCAGAGGTATCTGACCCGGGGCTTTCAGAGCGGTGACGCCTTTTCCGGGCCCTGCCAGACTCTCTTGTAGCATCCGATCGTTCGTCATCCCTGCGTCGCCTGTGTCGCTTGTGACTGTGATCATCTCGATGTCTGTGTTGCCTTTCGGAATCGGAATCGGATGAAGACTCCCGTGACCGTGAGGCCTCTCGGGAGGGTATCTCTCGTTCTTGTGGGTTCAAGTCGAAATGGACGCTCTTATCTTCTTCCGGGGACGGACTCGGGCTAGGCGGGTCGTCTACGGGCCCTGTTCTGGTATTAGCGAATTGTTCAGATTCATGGGCAGGCAGCGGCCTCCACCCACCACGCGAAGACGCAAAGTTATGGTGCTCTTTACCGCCATCAGGGACTGGAGCACTCACATTGTCACCCCCACGTCGTGGCTGGCCGTAGTAGGGTTCGTGTTGTTGTTGATGCTGGGGTGCATATGGGTTGCCGAGATGCAAGTCGTCGTGTGGTGGGTTGACAAAATGTGAGGGATGGTTGGGCTCATATGCGCTCTGAGGAGGCGGAGGGAAGTCTGCTGGGTTATACGGAGGATAAGGGTTGTTGGTGTTGGGATTGAAGTTGAGGTTGGGGTTGGGGTCTACTGGAGCACTAGGGGGAGGGGGGAAGTAGTTCGTCTCAGGGAAGTAGCGAGAGTCGTTAGGATGGGCAGTGGAGGTGGAGACATCGGTGGGCGTGGGGCTATCATAGGGGCTGTAGGTGCCTGTGGAGTAGGCTGAATCCTCCTCGCCTGGTGATGTTGAGTATGCTAATTGCGGTGTGGGCGTGGGGTGGACTCACGTCGTCGTTCGGCTTCCTTTTCGGCCTTCTTACGGTCGCGCCGCTTCGCTGCTTCATGGGCAGCCAGACCAGCTACACCGGCGACCGCCGCCGTCTCCGCGACCTTCCGTGATCGACTCTTGCTCCGGCTCCGGCTCCGGCTTCCACGTCGACCACCAGAGGAAGAAGAGCTTCCTCGCCGTCTACGGTGCGCGCGGCTGCGGTCCCGGCTTCGACTGCGACTACTGGCACGATCGGTGTACACCGGATCATCGCCGTACTCTACTAAAACAGGTTCACTCACTGTACTTCCACGTCTGCTGCGGTTGCGTCCGGTAAGGCGGGAGAGGACTGACCTGGACCTTGAGCGCGACCTTGACTTGGACCGCGATGCCGCCCTAGCCTCCTTCTTAGCCTTGCGTTTCTCATAAAGTCCAGTGACAGCTGCGCCGGCAACACCAGCGGCAGCAATCGGAACACCCTGTCGGATCCGGCTAGGTGAGCGCTTGCCCTTGCGCTTTCGAGACTTGCTACGGCTGCGTGCCGCAAGACCGGCTACAGCAGCAGAGGCAAGGCCAACTTGCGCTGCTCTGTTGTTGCGATGCTCAGGGTCTAGGTGTTTGCTCGTGCTACGAGACCTACCCCTGTCATCAGCCACTGAGGCGGACCTGGATCTTCTTCGGCTCTTCCTAGAACGCGATCTGCCTCCATGACGTGACCTGCTTCGGTGCCGATCTTCTATGACCGTAACCGTCTCCTCTTTGACCACCTTGTTCTTGTTCCTCTGTCCGGCAGCGTAGGCGAGGGCTCCAACACCGGCAAGTGCGGCAAGCGTGCCCAGCTCCTTCACCCTCGACTTGCTGCGGTGGCGAGATTTGGCACGGCGGCTGCCTCTGCCACGATCAGAAGAAACAGACCGGGATCTGTCACGGTTGTTAAATCTATCGAGAGCCACAGCACTCACGGCACCAAGCGTGCCGTAGCCAAGGGCATTTCCTATGTTGCCTCCAGCGGCTTCACCCTTTCTCTTGCGGTGATGCCTGATGATTTGTCCTGCAGCAACTCCGGCAAGAGCGCCTGCAGCAACATCACGTTTGGTGCGGGTCTCACTTCCGCCCCAGGTATCCTTCTCCTTGTGGATATAGATGTCGTCGTCGCTGTAGTAGTTCTTATCTCCCCATCGGTGGTCATATTCACGCTCGTCGGCGTATCGCTCATCGTAGCGACCGCCGCGATCGATCTCCTTCACTCTGCGCTCGTAGTAGTAATCTTCCTCGTGGCGCTGCGGACGAGCAACCTGTCTGTCTTCTTCAGTACGTTCAACAAGCTCGTAGGATGGCTCTTGGACGCGCTCGCGGATGATGATGGGTTGAGGGGCTTCCTCCCGGATAATAATAGGCTGCATCTGCATCTGCATGGGTGGCATCTGCTGGGGCTGGGGGGCCTCATTGCGGATGTAGATGGACTGGGGCTGGGGTGGTGGGGGTTGGGGCAGCGGCTCGGGGCGGAAATACTCAGTAGACCTCGAGTACTTCTCCAACTCATAGGGCTGCTCCCGCGGGAAGATCTCGCGCTCGCGGTCGTAGTCCCGGGAAATGCGGATCTCGGTGCGCGCAGGTGAGGGGGAGCGCTCGTATTCGCGCTGAATGCGATACTCGGAACGCACGGGCGAGACTTCGCGCTCACGTTCGGCGTAGTGGTAGTGTCTCACTTCTCGTTGGGGAGCGGGCGCTTCATGGCGCTCGATATGATAGTCCTTGACAGAGCGACGGTCGTCGAAGTCGTCGCGGCCGCGGTGAACCATGCGCATCTCGGTCTCGTACGTGTCTTCCTCGAGGCTGTGATCGGGCACCTTGTAGCGCCGCACCGTGGTGTAGCCAGTGGCACCAGTGCGCGTGGACGTGGTGTCCCACTCGCGGTCGCGCTCGCTCCTCTTGTAGATGACCGACATGGTGCGGCGTGGAGTCGTGGAAAGAGAAACGGAGGGGTAAGTTGCAGTGGCTCGGAAGTGCGCGCAATGCAATGCAGGAGGGGAGCAGAGGATAGGGGATGTTTGTAGACTCTGGCGGCGGGTGCTCGCCTACGTAGCCAGTCGTGGTGACTCGCTGCTAGGCGTGACTGTGAACGGCTGAGCGAGGGCGGGTACTCGCAGGCGTCGATCGCGAGCCGGCGGGGCTGGGTGATTGGCGAGAGTGTTGATCAACACGCTCACTATCGTTGGGGATGCGCAATACTCGCAGACTGCGATAGCAAACGAGGTGGGGTAATAAGAGGGTGAACGCGAGTAGGGCAGACGACGTCAAGTGTCAGGAATAGCGGACCCCGTCAGAAGACTTGATTCTGGCCTGCCCAGAAGGCAAGAGGTACCCTGAGGCCGATGACGTCAAACCAATCGCACCACCTCAACCGACCGCGCGCTGGACCATGTGTTTCAACACCGCGTCTCCAGTGTCTAAATACATACGGGCGCCGTCGGGCAGTGCCTGTCTGCGCGAAGTCTGTCTGCCTTACCTAGATACCCTCTTCGCAGCCAGATGGGCACACCGCGCCGTCGCAGCCCTACATCGAGCCACGACGGGAGCGCGCGCATCGCACATTATGCGAACCATTACCTGCAAGCTGTCACATTCGCTAGAAGTTTCTTTTTGTGGGCACCAAGAACTCACCGGACATTGCGCCATCACCTATGCGCATAGCCCCGCATGCGGTGAGCGCTCGAGCATGTGGACGGTGCTTCTGCGGCTGACAACGACTCACGCCGCTGACTGCCCCTTCCCCATCGCTGCCGGCTGCCTGGTGACTCCATCAACGGCACAGCGGCGAAGAGAGAACTTGGGCCCAACCTGGCACCAAGCTGCAAGACAAGAACCTTCCTGCGTCACCGCACGCAAAGCCCAAAAGTGAAGCAACCCAATACTCCCAGGGTCACCCTGCCCACCTCGCATAGAACGCCTCGCAAGAAGCATGTTCTTGACGCGATCGACAGAAAAGTACATCGATGAGACCGTTGAAGAGTTTTTCCACGACCGTGAACTCGCCGGAACCTTTGCATCGTGACGGAGCAGCACCTGCCCAACGTACTGAACACATCGCGGGCATGCATACTACAAGCCAGACCCTCGCTGCAAGGAAGTGCACTGTGTCTGACCTACTTCGACCGATTGAGGCGTGCATCAGAGTACCGTGAAGATCGGGATAGTATCCAACAGGCTGCACCATGCAGACGTCCAAAGCACTGCCTTAAGAACCCAGTGCACACCCTCACCACCATCTGCATCCTTCCCACGACCCGCACCGTGAGACTCCGCCTCTTAGTCCAGTAGATCTGTCCTCCCATAGTGACCACACCACTGCCGAAACAAGCCACATTATCGCTATTGGACATGTCTCAGCTTCCCAGCGACTCACCACCTGGAGTGACTGTATGAAACGAAGCGACGTCCCGGCGAATACCCACTTTTCTCTCTCGCTCACCGGAGACGCATAGCTGCCGGTAAACACGGCTGGGCGATAACACTCACTGTACGTGGCCTCCCGTCTGTGTTTCAAAGAGGGGCGACACTGGGGGCCAGATGACTGCGCAAACATCGGTATCACTGTGCGGAAATAACATACGAAAGCGAGTCAGCAGAGCACACTGACGGTTAGAAATCAAACAACTGTCATAACTAGTCGAACAACATGCCCGACTCCGATATGTAGTAGTGGTACAAAAGCAAACATGTGTACTGTCTTGGTCCAACTCAAACCAGGGACGACTCAACGCAAGCGAAACCCGACCGCCAACGCCACGCGATACGATGTGTTCTCTCAACCAAATGGCACTCTATGCTTTTCTTTTGGGTGTGATCAAACGATTCCGTACACCCTCTTCGCAATGAAGTAGCACATAAGACCGAAGGTGATGAGGCCTCCAGTAATGCACCAGAACCAGTTGAGGTTCTCGATATCTTGGCCAGGGACGAGACTGGGCTTGGTTAGCTTATCGTTCGCTCAGGGTCATACGTATTTTGACTCACCAGTTCATACCCCAGATACCGGTCACAACGTTCATTGGCAGGACGATCGTTCCGAGCACAGTAAGCTTGCCAAGAATATCAGACGTCTTCTCTTGACGTTCGTTCATCCTGATGTTGATCTGGGCAAGGTAGTTGCTGTGAGCACGAGAGAGGAGACTGGGAGGCTGATTAGTTTGTGGTCTATAGCAGTGCCGGGATCAACTTACTTCTCGTAATGACTCAGGTTGCCTGTCATGGTGACGATATGATCCTGGATATCTCCAAGATACATGCCAATCTCGTTGCGAGGTGCAATATCCCACTGCTCGTTGCATCGCTTCGCGAAACCCTTGATGACATCGGCCTTGTTACCAAGCAAGCGGTAGAGGCTCATAACCTTCTTTCTGCATTCACCCACACGTCGCAACATGTCTCGGCCGGTTTCTTGCTGTGACTTGATCTCGGGAGGCTCTTTGTAGTGCGGGTTGTTGTAGCTGTACGATTTCTCCTTCTCTGCTTCCTGTTCTTCTTCGCTCGAATGAAGTCGCAATATAGCCTCATCGATATCATCAACCTCTTCTTCGATCTTCTGGATCATAGGCGCGTACGCATCCGTGACATCGTCAATGATGGCATAAGAGATCCAGTCAGGTGACAATACAAGGTAGTCAGAAAGTTGGCGAATACGGCGGCGGACGTTGGCAGGATGCGGTGTCATAGAGAAGTGGAAGCTTATTACGCCTTCTCTGAACACAACAACATACAGGTTGACGGGCTCCAGGTAGTCCTCGCTGTTCTCATCTTGCTCAAAGGTACGGTAGTTGATGAAGTAGTAGTGCTTGAACAGCTCGACCTTTTCGCGTTGCTCTTGCATGAGGATGTCTTCCGAGGTCAATGGATGTATGCCAAACGTCTTAGAAATGACCTTCATCTCAGTCTCTGTGGGGGACATGACATCCAACCACCAGGCAGGCCGTGGGCCAAACCGCTTCGGCTTTTCGCCATTGGGCTTGTCGGGTTTTCCTGCATCCGTTGGACGCGGGGTTGTTGAGCGCGTCTGTTCTCCAGAAGAGTACTTGCCCTCGGCCTTCGAAGTCGAACGCGTTGTTGTGCGTGAGGAGTAGCCGCCGTTGGGGCCAGCATGCAGCATGTCATCTTCTGTGTCGGAAGAATCGCTGTCGTCGTCCAGGATCGGTGGATCAGGAACGAAGAGATTCCTGAAGCTCTGCCCAGGTTGCAAGAGTTCGCTGATGCTCTGGCTGTGAATGGTGTTGTCAAACGTCTCGTTGAAGTAGGTGAAACGATAGGGAGCGTCGCTGTCCTCGCGATGCCAGACGCGTCGTTTCGGACGGAGGCGTCCTTCAACCATAAGCGGTTCGCTAACCTTGCGCATGCGCATGCCTTCAATTGTCCGTTGTTCCTTCTCCTCGTGTGCCCAAGCTTGTAGAACGTCGAGATCGGGCCAGCGGCGCCGTCTTCGGCGAGTGGTAGGCTCACCGGTCGTGGGGGCGTTCATGTAATCTTCGTGTCCCATCTCAGACATGTCCTCGTGGGGGAAGCAGACATCTTCAAGCGCAGAACCAGTCATGCGGCGTGTGAAGTCGCCAGGAGTAGGTGGAGTGCCTGAATGGGCGTCCTCATCGATGTTGATAAGTGCGTCTCGGGATGCACTGTTGGACCTTCCTGGGTCGGACATGTGATCCAAGTCTGTCGGGAGCATGACATCGTCTAGACCGCTACTAGCCTCGAAGGCTGGGCTCGTAGGTACGGATGGGGGGTTGTTTACGTCGTAGTCGTCGAGGTTGGTTGTAGAGTGGTGGTGTTGAGTGAACAGATCCGGCCTGTGTTCTGGCATGGGCATGTGCTTGAAGCTCTTTGCGGAGTTCTTGCTTCCTCGGCGAGGCTTGCCGTTGTTGGAGCCATAGCTGGTGGATGTCCTGATGTCGCGTTGAGACGAACCCATGAGTGGCGTTCTATCATCCGCATCGTCTTCGCCATCACTGTAGTGCTCCTCGGGAGTATGCGACAGGCGTGAGCGGCCGTAGGAGTTCGCGGCTTGAAGCCGCTGGGGGGTGCTGACGCTGGGCTGACTTGCCCTCGGCTGGTACATGGACGTTACAGGCACGCTAGGACGACGCGTCCGAATGGTGGGCTGCTCGCGGTGGTCCAGCAGAGCCTCGCTCTCGAGGCTTGTGTTGCTGAGGTTGCTGTGGGTGCGGTAGAAGCCGTTGCTCCCTCGCGACTGCCCATGGCTGGCGACATTGGCCAGACTCGGGCGCTCCTCCATCATGGAGTCGCCTTGCGCGAGATCGGCTCCAGCTGCAAAACTCTGTCTCCTGTTTTTGCGCTTCTTACCACCGCGATGCGTCTTCTTCTTCTTAGGTGGAGCGGCTGCAGCTGCCGCATACGAAGGGCCGCTGGAGGTGGCAGCTGTGCCGGCGTCGGGGCCAGCAGGGCCAGACGGATTTGAGGCCATTACGGGAAAGCGCGTGGATCAAGATAACAATTGCAGTGTTAACGCTGTGTGACGGGGGTGTGCAGCAATGATGGGCCACTGATAAGTAGACACGCAGGAGTGTGGGTGGAAAAGCGCGTCGGAAGTGCTGAGTGTGGATTTGCTGCGAATCTCGTCCTGAATCTACCAGTGACGTTACTCGGTGTCCGTGCCCTGGAAGTGTGGGCCCGCCCGGGGGGTCTAGCCTCTCCAGCTTTGCAGTTCGCATGTGTGAACCATCCGGTGGATCTCGCGGACGCTGCTGCCAGCAACCCCATCTCTGTCGCCATCTCCGCGATAATGCCCTGCAAGCTGCATGTCAGTACGACGACTGGTTTGTACACGTTGGTGGCTGTTCTGAGCAACGGCTGTCGCGTGGTCAATTACCGATTCGGGAACATGGCAATCCTGCATGCGCCATTGCTTCGCCCTAGCACTCGATTTGGCGCTATTACGCTTGTTTTCACTACCCCGACCTCTAATGGTAATTCCGTGCGTCACTAGTCATCAATAGATTAGAAAGAGCAAGGCACACTTCTCGATCAAACAATTCCATACCTGGGTATCTCTCTGGCCTCAGCACACCCCGCGTCAAGCTGCATATCGAGTGGCACTGCAGTGCGATAACAGCTTGGTTTGTCATTGGTAGCTCTACACCTACAGAACGTAGCGAAATCTTGGGCCATAGTTTTCGCCTAGTTCCCTCTTGCTCCCACCGGTTTCCCTTTGCTGCGCCAATGTCCCGTACTTGCGATCCAACTTCTTGTTCTCCCACGCGAGATTTGTTCTCAGCAAAAGAGATAACAGGCAGAACAGAAACATGAACCCAGCACATACAGATTGGCCCTTGACGTACAATGGGCCTTCTGATGTGGGATACAATCGGGTCCCCAGCAGAGGTCCGCATTGGCCAATCAAGTTCAAAATAACTATTCCTGTACCCCTCCGAGTATCGCTGCCTTGGTTGTTCGTGACCCAAGGCAGTACATTGCCTATAGCTGGGAAAATACCAGCAGCAGCCAGAAAAACTCCGAAATATCTCGCTCCTACGCTCTTCGTGGTTGCCAGGATGACATAGCCAATCCCTCCAATGGCCGTGAGGATAGCGATCATGATACCTCGCTGTTGCGTCCGATCTGCGATGTAGCATGTGGCGATTACTGTGAGGAAGGACAAGAAGAATGGCGGTGCTGTGAGGCCCTGCGCATTGACCTTCGAGAAGCCCATTTCGTTGAGGATCGTGGGAAGGAACACCGGCAATGACGAGAATGCAACGTTCCCGGAGAAGTACATGAGCTTTTATTCAGGTCAGTTAAGTACCACGACATCGCGTTGTCAGACTTACACCGAGTATCCAGCCTTTTAGATCCATCAGTCCCTCCAACATCTCTTTCCAGTTGATAGCTCCAATTCTTGTTCCAGCGCCAGCCTGTGCCACACCACGAGCTCTTGCAACCGCCTTTTCCTCTTCGTTCAGGAACTTCGCCTTTTCCGGACTGTCTGGTAGGAAGAAGAAGGCAACAGCAGCCATAACGACTGTAGGTAAGCCTTCTACCAAGAACAATACGCGCCATTTCGCCATTCCAGGATTACCGCTCGTAATTCCATACGCTAGAGCACCTGCGAACGTGTTGGCTAGCGGCGCAGCCGATAGGAACAACCCACACCTAAGCCCAAGTTCATGCCTCAGGTAGAAGAATGAAAGCAGAAATGGCACGCCTGGCCCATATGCTATCTCTGCAGCTCCCATGAGGAACCGCAGTGCCATCATCCCTCCCCATGAAGTTGTCGCAGCTTGTACGGTCGAAACGAGGCCCCAGACGAAGACGCAGCCCGCGGCCCAAATATGCGGTGGTACGACTTTCCACATGATCGCGAGGAATCCGAAGACGATGTACGAAATATAGAATATGGTAAGTAGCCACTGGTACTGCGAACTACTCAGATCGAGGTCTTCTTCCATGCCCGCAATTCGCGCGTTGCTGATGTCACATTAGCCATGCTTTCTCCATTGTAAAGATGTTTTTCATACCCAATATTTGACCGGTCGAGGAATGCCAGCAGATACAATGCCGATAGCAAAGGAACGATGTGGGTATCCAATTTCCGTCGCACGCGCTTCTCGATCACCGGGTCAATCTCGTCTTCCACCCGTGCAGCTGGCCCAGCTTCTGCGCCTCCCTCTCCCTCTTTCATCATCTCGAACTTCTTCTCCTCATTCTGGTCCACGCTCTCCGGGTCTTTCGAGGTGAAGAGACGCATCTCAATCGGCGCACAGTCTCAAAGTAAGGTGTAGTACAGCAAGAACGGCAGCGCGCGGGCGTGCGGCAGGGGAGGCGAGCATATAAGCACTACAAGACTCATGTCGAAGCTTAACCAAATGCCGAGATCGGTACGACTCCACCCCGAAGCTTCATGATAGGCGGTCTGATGCGCTGTGTTGGGGATAAAATGTGATGAGGTGGGGCTGGGCGGGGAGATCGACATTGGGGGATGCACATCGTGGACGGAACGGAATTAGGCCCGTACACCGCAGACCGGCCGAAATTCTCAACGAAGTAGAGTTCAGACTGCTACCTTCACCCTTGTGTTCGTCTGTGAGGCTGAACATGAGAAGGTCATAACGCTGTCACCCCACACAAAAGAGAACTGAACAGGTGCTTTGCAGGATACATTAAGGCAGCAAGAGAAAGATAAAAACGCACCAAGACGAGGTAGGCTTCCCGGTTATCTTTATTGACCTTCGTACGAAATGTCTTTAGAGGCTTTGATTTTTCCCTCGAGTGGGGTGCTGCGATTATGCAAAGTACGCGAAGTACCCGTTCACGTGTACGTACCTACTACCTACCTATGTGGGTATCAGGTATCAGCATCACCAACGCCATCAACGATCAATCAACGACATTATGCCCACTCATTTATCCCAGGGTACCGAGGCGACCAACATATGACGAGCCACACAATTCGTGCAACACCAACGACAGAAACGATGCCTGGACTATGCCATCACATGATGGCGAAAGCGATGATGAATATAACTCGTCGGGTATTACATCCATGGCCTAGAATACAGAAATTTGCAATGCGATATCATTCAAACCAATATCACCAGTATTAAGAGCTCATTCTCATACTCGTTTTCAACATACACATCGAATGCCATTTCAACACAAACTGAATGCTTACTACGCTACCAAAGTCTACATGTCCACTCCTAGCCCATGCGCAGTTCTCTAGCCGTCCAACCCTTCTGCGCTTTCTGGTCTCCATAACCTTTCCGAGCTCGCGTCTTCTTTAGATACGCTGCGTGCTAGAGAGCTGTCTTAAGTAAGCATGGTTTCTATACTGTTTGTAGCACAGCAGTGGATACATAGGAGAAAAACGTCAAGAGCACCTCATTAGGCATATCTGATTCCCAGATCAGTCAAGCATTTAGTAAGTATGCTGGAATGATACATGGCCATCACCATGATGGACTGAGTGAAGCAGTAACCAGATCCAATTCGTGTATCTGTCCAGATAAGATCCCAACACACCATATCATAATCTTACATCCAAAATCTTCATACCTCAACGCCGTATCAATCGCAATCAAAAGAAGACCCCCGCTTCTTTTCTTCCTATATGGCAAGATGCGACATAGTCTGCCCTTGTCCGATCTGCGGCGCCGCCTTCGGCAACGGCTTCAACCTCTGCTGTTGTACCGGCGTCCGACTCGTTCCCGGCAGCGTATTCGTCCCAGGATAAGCCTTCTTGGGATCAGGCTTCTTCTGCTCAGTGGGCGGTGTAAACGGTTTCGGTTGGCCAGGCTTGACTGCAGCCTTCTTGGTCGTCGGGTATGCGGGTTTGGGAAGACCGTTGGTATCCGGGAAAGGCTTCGGAAGGGCCTTGTTGGCTGAGGGAGCTGCGCTGGGGCCCTTGAAGGGAGGGATAGGTTTTGTGGCTCCGCCGATGGCTCTTTGTCCGCCTCCTACAAGGCCTCCGGTGGCTTTTGTGGCGTTGTTCGTTACGGTGCCGACGGTGCTGTTTGCGCGGCCTATGACGCCTCCGGTGACTTTGGATGCGCCGCCTGTTACTCCTCCGACAGTTTTGTTCAATCCTCCTACTGTTCCTCCGACAGTCTTCTTCGCTCCTCCAACAGCACCGTTGACTTGGTTACTACCCGGGTACTTCTTCGCGCCCAGAGGCGTTCCACTGGTGGTTGGCTTGTTGCTCGCGGGGGTCGAGTTGGAACGCTTGACTACGGACTTTCGTGCTGTGGAAGGGAGAGCTTTGGCTGTGGGCTTGTAGGTTTGGCCAGTGATTGCGGTGCCGTAGCTTGTTGCTTTCTTCTCGATACCTGGGCGCATGTTAGTGAGTGCTCGAGGGGCATTTACGGGACGAGCAGCTTACCATTTCCCACACTTCTTCCACTGTTCTCAATCATATCCCCAGCCTTGATCAAGGCATTTCCACCATATTCACCCGCCGTCTTCTTTCCGGCATCTACGAAGCCCTCTACCGAGTTCCAGATGATGTTTGAGATGAAGCTCGTCATTGTATAGTATGTGTAGTGATCTCGCGACTGCAATTGATGTCGAAAGCTAGGTTCGACGGAGGAGCTATGGTAGTATCGAGAGAGCTCTCTAATTCTAGACTGTTGGACCCCAGATCATGTTCTCCGATGATGCATGGCCTTTGGCGCCACCGCAGCTTGAACCTGTTTCGCTACCCGTCGCATGCAGGGGGGTCGCTGCCGCCCCGCGTCAAATGACGTTATTGTGGCACAGCGAGGTGGACCTGAACCAAAGTCCTGGCTGGCGATCTTTTGATGCAGGTTTTTAGCTTCTGTTGTAGCTTTCTGCCGTGGCATGTCACCAGTACGCTAGGCAGTACAGCGTTGAGGCTGAGTATCACGGTGCAGTGGTGATGCTCGTATGTCAATTTATTATGTTTATCGTCAATCATACTATTCGTACAAAGCGCGCTGCTACAGTCAAACCCTTTTGATTACATATCCTCAATACCAATAGAAAAAAGAAACGCTCGTAACTACTCATTGCTTTGGACAAAAGTAACAAACTAAGCACCCTGTCTGGCCTTCTCAGCGCAGATCAGGGCGATGATGCGGCTCAACTCAGCGCTTTGTGCGAATTGCTCCTGCTTGGTCTTGTCGTCTACGTCTTCGCACGCTGCGATGTCGTTGCTGACTGTCAGCATACGGTTTTGGAGCGTGAGCAGCTTGGCAAGTGTGTTGTCGAGGAAAGGTGCGCTGAAGGTAATGTTGGTTGGTGAGGCGCCGTTGTTGGGCATGCGCATCTCGAGTTTCCTGGGTGGCTTCTTTCCCGAGTTGGACGGAGCAGACTGCTGTTGTTGCTGCTGTTGCGCTTGCTGTTGGGGCCTACCGCAGATCGTTAGCAAATGTACTTCTAGACCAGTGATTACGCGATAGGGGTCTATATTCAGGTCGGCAGTTGTGTAGTGCGGCCCTGATTTTCCACGCCGTCGCTACCAGAACCAAAAGAATGCCAGGGGAAAATTCAAGGAAGTTCGGACGACTCACTTCTCGCGCTCGACGAATGTCATGTTCTCTGCCATTTCGGCGACGCGGTTTGCGATCCTCGAAGCCATGATAGTGTATGGTGACATCTGAGGTTGCGAAGCTCCGTTCGTTGCGCCATTCGTCTGGGGCTTCTTTGCGCTTTGGGTAGCCTTCTTAGGAGCCCTTGAAGCGGTGGCCCTGTTGGTGGTGCGCTTGGCCGGCGCGGATGCGACTGAGGCTGCGGGCATGTTGGAAAGATGCGATGCGTGGTTCGGGATAAGTTCTGTGATATGTGTCAGCCTCCAGCCTAAATGAACGTTTGAAGGCTGCTCGCGTGCACCACTCGAGTATGCGCCAGGGTCGACAGCTGTCAAAGTCGAACGTACCGTAGTTGTGGTGCAAATGTGGTGGTATTGTTGGAAGAGGGATGTAGTTGAGACGCTTTGGAGAACTGGTATCTACTGCGGAGCGAGTATAGTGTTATTGAGTAGACCAAGAGACTAAGGAAGGGGTAACGGTGTGTCTCGAATATCTTGCTTGCTTGACTTGGTTGTACGCCGCCACACATAACGTCATGCCACGGCACGCTGACAGGGGTTGACGACGCGCAAGTGGAGCATCCATCTTGATCTCGAACCTGGACCCGTTAGCCTGCACTGACGTCGCGGGTAGCCCGTCACTGGTGCTGATAGTCGTGTTTGACGTTTTGGACTTCGATGTTCGCTCGTGTGCCAACTGTGGAAGATGTCGCCTGCTACTGCTACGAAGAAGCCCGTCGTTACCAAATCGCCGGCTGCCAAACCCCCGGTGAAGAAGGCGACGGCTCCAAAGCCAACCCCAGCGAGCCAATCAGCATCCAAGCCCCCAGTACCAGCTGCTGTCAAGAGGAAGAAAAAGGATGACCTCGGTGCTGGATTGCGGATCTCGAAAGACAATGTCGAAGCGCATCCGGCTGGACCACCGCGCTTTGGCGAGTTGACACAGGCAGAACGAGCTTTCACGTTAGCCTCGACGTTCTTGTCCGGCGTTCTGGCGTAAGCACGTCCATGTCCACCTCCAGATACACCCAACTAATACCTGACAGTATAAGCGCATCCCAATTCCTAGGCGCACCGCTAAAGCTGATTGACCCGCAATTCTACGATGGGTACATGGCATATACCAAAGAATGCTTCGCCATCCTGATCACCTGTCTAACCCAATGGTGGGCTCCGACTGTCGTTCGTGTATCTGGCGACTCCAGCATGGTCGGCCAACTTATCAAACGCAAAGATGGATCGTTACAATGCAATTTTGCAGACCGCATGGTGCTCATGGCAAACCATCAACTTTACACTGACTGGCTGTATATATGGTGGATCGCTTATACGAACAACATGCACGGCTTCATCTACATCATTTTGAAGGAGTCGCTGAAGAACATTCCGATCATTGGATGGGGCGCCCAGTTCTACAACTTCATTTTTCTATCTAGAAAATGGGAAGAAGACCAACGCACATTCAAGAAGCATCTCAGCAAACTGAACAAGAAGGGAGACCCCATGTGGCTCATCATCTTTCCCGAAGGAACAAACCTGTCCAAGACTACGCGCGAAAAGAGTCAACAATGGGCGAAGAAGAACGCTTTACAGGACATGAAGCACCAACTGCTTCCACGCAGCACTGGTCTCAAGTTTTGCCTCAACGAACTGAGGGAAACTACAGATTGGCTGTACGACTGCACCATCGCATACGAAGGTGTGCCAGAAGGTCAATTTGGTCAAGACATCTTCACTCTTCGCTCTTCGTTCTTCGAAGGCCGGCCTCCGAAATCAGTCAACATGCACTGGCGACGATTTCACCTTGACGATATCCCATATGAGAACACACACGCTTTTGAGGTCTGGCTGAGGAACCGTTGGAGGGAGAAGGACTACATGCTGGAGTACTTCAGTCGCCACAACCGCTTTCCCGCAGAAGATTTCTGGAAGAACCACCTGGATATGGACACCAAGAGTGAGAGCAGTAGAGGCGGAAACAAGACCATCCGAACCGTACCACGACCAGCAGTACAGATCGAAACCGAAGTCAAGAGCGGCAACTGGAACGAGTTCGTCAAGATTTTCGCTCCAATAACCTCCGTCATGATGGCTCTGACCGTAGCCTACGGTGCTTCGCCCGAAGATCTACCAATACCCGGTGCCAAAGAATTCTTTCAAACCCACATGAGAACACTACTAGGCCAAGGCGGCGAAATGAAAGGCCTCCCAAGCCCCGAGCAACTAGAAAAGATGATAGAAGGCGCCGCACAAATGGGCGCAGCCCAAGCCACAGGACCAAAAGAAGTACCTGAAGTACAACGCCTAACCCAAGAAAACCTCGCCAAACTAGTCAAAGAAACAGCTATCGCAAGCGGCGCTGTGATGCCCAACGGAATGAGAAGAGCAAGCACAGCACTACCACCACCAATGACCAAGACGCTGCAAACGCCCACTGCCGCGACCCCAGCAGTAAGGCGAGCTCAAAGCGCGGTGAACCTCCCAACATCCTCAGCAAAGAAACCCACAGCCGCAGCCCCCAAACCAGGCACCGCCGCACACGCCCGAGCGAACCCCGCGGCAGCAACCAAGAAACCCACTCCGCAACCCACAGGTCCCATGAAAGAGATGATGACAGCTTCAGGCGTCATGATCAAAGTCCCTCAAACGGAGGTCGAACAAGCCAAGAAAACAGGCACGCTGACCATGGCAAACGGCGTTAAGATCAAAGTGGGCAGAGAGGAGATTGAGAAGGCGCAAGAGAAGAAGGGGACTACGTTCATGACGGCAGGCGGTGTGCCCATCAAGGTGACGCCTAGCGGTGCTGTGCAAGTGCCTGAGAAAGTGAGCAAGGGGCAAGCGCCGGCTGTGAAGAAGACGGGGGATTTGGCGAAGAAGATGGGTGCTGTGTCGACGATTCCAGCGAAAAAGGCGCCTGCTAAGATAGGGGGTGCGACGAATGGGACTGCGAAGAAAGGGACTGCTGCGAATGGGGCGGCGAAGAAACCGGCTACCGCTGCTCCGAGGAAGCTTTGAGATGACTGTTATGAGGATAAGGGTATAATTTTTTTGGGGGGTATAGTATAACCAGGGTATTTGTTTGGCGTTGAACCAGTATACATAACTAGATCTTGGATAATTTGTTTGTTTGTATGTAAGATATCAGCATGCCATCATTGGAATCGAAGCAAAACAGCCTATCCCATGCACCGTTGCAGTGTTACATGGCCTCCGGTCTGAATCGTCGTACAGAAAGAACCCATAACCTCAGATACCGATCTCACTAACCGCTATACCAAGTCGTCTTCTTGACCTGCGTATCCATCCACTCCGATCGTTCAAGCACTCGTCCATCGTTCGTCCTCGCACCACTAAACGAAAACAGAGTTAATACCTCAATCCAATCATCGGATTGACCAAAAAACATGGCGAAGAAGGAAGATCCAAAACGAACATCCAACAAGATTGTGAATCAAATCCCGTGAAATGGCAACCCATAGATCGTCGTAGCGGGTGCCACCGCAACAACGCGAAAATCCATGTACAGCAAACATTACCTCTTCTTCCTCGCAGCCTCTTCCTGCTGTAACTTGTGCATCTTGGCTCTTGCGCTCTTGCTGCCACCCAATTTGGGTCCGGTGATGGGAGGTGGCGCACCCTTGACAGGAGGGGCAGGTGGTTTACGGGCTTGTTGTTTCGCTTCCATGGATTCGAAGTATTCGTTGCGGAACTGCTCGACGAGGGCGTCGTCGGTGTTGGTGGAGGTGTTGGCGTGGGGGTTTGCGGGGGTTGTTGAGTCGAAGAAGTCGACTGGAGATGTTAGCATGGACCTCGTGTGAGAAGGGGGAGGGAACGTACGTTTGGCTTCTTTCAGTACGGCTTCAACCATCTGATCGCGTCGCTTGTCTTCTTCCGTCTTGCCGTTGGCTTTGGGCTTGCGCCACGCGTAGCCGTACTTGTCTCGCCGCGCTTTGCTTGCTGGCGGTTCTGGCTCGCCCTTGTCCCATCGTTTCCAGGCTTGTTCGGTGCGCGCCGCAGCGTCAGGGCCCAGGTCTACTTCCTGAAGCTTGCCCTGGCCTGCCGCCAACCGGTTGCTGTGTTCGTTGTCCGCGGGACTCTCGGTGCTACTGGTCGCGCCTTGTGTCGATAAACTGGTGGTGAAGGTATGCCGCAGATCTGGTGCGATGGCTGCTACAGAAGCCTGGAGGTGGTTTGGTATGGGCCAGCCGTACTGGCGATAGTTCTTTTCAGCCATGCGAGCTTCTACATATTCCGACCTGGCACATTAGCCTCCATGCTTGGCGGTGCCCTCATTCGAGCCTGCTGTAATCTGGCGAAGAGTCCACTCACATCTGCTTGTCATCGCGATCTACCACCTGTCCCGTCTGCGCGACGAAGCGGCTGGTATACTGGTCTGGCTGGGGCGCTTCTACTTGCACCACCTCTGTCCGCGGCGGCTCTGCTTTGCGCGTAGTTTCCTTCAGTCGGTCGCGGGGCCGCTTTCGGTTGCGCAATATCTCTTTCAGGTTCGGCACCGACTCTTCTTCATCGTTGGCTTCGGTCGGCAAGACAGGCGCGTCGTTGGGAATCGCAGCAACAGGCGTATGCGAGGCGGAAACAGTAGGCGCATCGTCGTCGGTGTAGACACGCTTCGGGTGCGCGATCTTGCGGCGCTTGAATCGTATAGCGGGGACTGCCTCGTCTTCTTGAGCCGTCGACATGCTGGGCACTTACGGGAGAGTCGGGAGTGGAGCGTGGGTTGGAGAGGTAGAGTTTCGGAGGACGACCTGGGCCGAGGCGTGAACCACCCAAGGGTCCAAAGCGTCATAAGCCCTTTCACTTGTGCCTAAACTTCATGACGGAGGCTAAACATGGTTCGCATAACTAGAGCATCATCTACGTACATCTGAATTTAGACGCGATCTGGGGTTGCAGGAGCGCAATAAGACTGCGGTACCCTTTCATGCATGCATCATACGACGATTAACAGACGTAGAGCACCTACATGGCGTGACACTCAGCTCATAAGACGATCACGTAGCCGACTTCCGCTGTCGCATATCAGGAGTTACATACCAACTCTCATCCTCCTCAGCAGCTGCCTCCGCTGTTTATATGTCGCATATCACATCACAATTCAACCCCATGGCTTCGCATTAAGAATTTTGTTCATTGCGATAAAACATATGTACTCTCGGCCTACTATACAGGAAGCCAGCCGCCGTAACGCTCAAACGCCCAAGTCATACCCGGTACATTGAGTAGCGAAAGACTGAATGCAGGTAATATCAGGAAACTTCCTCTCCATCCTTCCTTCTCGTCCCCTTGGTATCAATTTACATCATCATTGTCATCGTCCTCCCTAAGCCGTCGCTGAGGAAACAGTCTCAATCTCCACCTTTGGCAGCGGCGCCGACTTGCCGCCAAGGTCTGTTTGCCGTGCGTTGGGGTTCTTGGTGTAGTAGTTGGAGATGGCGGATTTGATGGCGTCTTCAGCAAGCATAGAGCAATGCACTACAAGCAGTTAGTAATCTGGTCCTGGTTCTCGCTTTCGTATTGTAGATACTCACGCTTTACAGGTGGTAGGCAAAGCTCCTTTGCAATCTCTGTGTTCTTGATCCTCGACGCATCCTCCAGTGTCATGCCCCGGACCAATTCGGTCAGGTAACTCGAACTCGCAATCGCGCTACCGCATCCGAAGGTCTTGAACTTGACATCGCTGATGGTGTTGCTGTTGGGGTCGACACGGATCTGGAGCTTCATGACGTCGCCACATGCGGGTGCGCCGACTAGTCCAGTACCGACATCGTTGTCTGTCTTGGACATGGAGCCGACATTGCGAGGCTTGTTGTAGTGGTCGAGCAGTGCTGCGAATATTAGCTGAGCGTTCTCAGATATAATTAGTCGGAGATGGCGGTGCGATGACGAGGTGATTCCGATCGGACTCCCGTGTCGCCACCACATCGATTTTCCGAACAAGAGGGGAGGGCGACTTATCTTTCTCGTGGTACTGCCGCCGACCAACTGCTGAGACTGCGGGTGCTGCTGTGCGAATGGGCGAAACGATGCTGGGCCTGGCGGCGGTTGCGAGCACTCTTCTTGCCTGAGCGGGCACTGCTGCTGCGACTCTCCTGAACATGGCTGCGATCGATTTGTGTGGTGTTTTGAGGTTTGGTAGTATCTTTGGTGAGTTTTGGCAATAGTTCGGGTAGCGGTTGGATGTTGGTGTAGGTGTAGCGGAGGTGGATGGCGACGGACAATTGAAGTAATGATGAAAAGCCACGCCCGGCCGCCGGCGACGTAATGTCCGTGCGCACACATACCCCACACTTATCATGGAATCATCTCGGAGAACCGCTCCAGATCACCGGCGAACGAGTGCTATCTCCGTTCGTCCTGCTATCAGATGGAACTTCAGCTTCATTCATATCTCCTACAGCCATGCTGATGCTATCTAGCAGCCTGCGCCGCAATGCTCCCAATCCGCTCTCGTTTCGCCGTTTCATCAATGCTAATGCTAACCCGACACAACTCCGCTTTCGCTATGCTAGTCCGTGGTGAGGGACCTAGACCCGCTGTCTTACAAACGTCGGAAGAAATACACGTAGGCAAACTTCTTCATCTCTTCAATGTCGGCCGCCTTGGCTACCTTCTCGTCATTGAACAGAACCCACGATGCAGCCTGCTCGCCTGGCAACTGTTTGCGCACAAACGCAACGTAGTGTCTATGGCGTGTTAGCGAATCCTCTACCGTAATAGTCCAAATGCGGAAAACTTACCCGGCGTGTATCGAACTACCCTTGTGGCATACTATCGACTGGAGCTGGAAGTTTGCAGGCAGCGTCTCACTACCGGCCAACTTCTTCTCTGTTGGCTCCGCAGGTGCCTCGGAGCTCCCACCTTCGTCGAAATCGCCCGGTGCATCGGGGTGGCTGAACAGCCAGTCGACAGCGCGCTCCATGTCACCACCCGTCTCCTTCAGAGCCTGGCGTGCCTGTGGAGCGTTGAAGCCCATAGCTCCTAGGTTCTCGATTTTTTCAGGGTCCAGAACAGATGCAGCGGCTGCGCCTCCACCAGAACCAGCGTTGAAGTCGACTGGGTCGTCAATATCTGGATCCTCCATATGACCAATCAGCCAGTTCATCGCTGCTTCGGCATCGTCGTTACCAGTAGCATGTAGAGCCTTTTCACATCGAACTCTAGGGAATCCCATAGCCTCAAGCATCGAAAGTGCCGCCTCGTTGGGTGACCACTTCGAACTGCCCGACGCTCCTGTGTCTACATCTTCTGGGAGAAGCTCCTCTCCTTCTGCCAAACCATTTGACTTGTAGGTATCGAAGGAGAAAGGTTCATCGTTGACAATGACAGGAACATCCTGCTTGGTAGGCACCCAGTTGACCAGTTCAAATCGCCTAGCGTTGACGGCCAACACTGAAGGGAAGGTCTTGAACATGCTTCTCTTTGTGAAGCCATCTTTTCTGCCACATGCTCCGCAAGTAAGCTCAACCAACTCCTCGGCCGTGAAGATGTCGAGACACTCCTTTAGCGTGACTGGCTCGAATTCTTCCTTTTCTTCCTTCTTGCCGTCGCTGTTGGTGACGTCCATCTGCGAGTCTTTCGGTATCCGCCGGATGGGGACTGGGATGGAAATGTTCTCTTGCTCATCTGTCTTGTATCGAACGCGCTTGCAACTGACACACTGTAGCCGCTGTTCCATAGCAAAGCGGAAAGCACCGACCGGATCCTTATGGGGCTCAACGTGCTTGCTGCGTGAAACAAGCTGGAGTACGTGCAGAAGCAGTTCGAACGCGTCCTGTTGTCGCATAGTTGAGAATTCGGCGTGGCCTCTTCCGATCAGGTGCTTGAGCATGGCAGGCGCGAGGCCGCGCTGGTGAGGAACCTCTGGGTTGTGCTCGTTGGTGATGACGTCGCTATCTGGCTTTGAGTATCGACCTGAAATCATACCGTCTGCGATTTTGCGCATCTGAGTTTCCAAATCCTCGGCAGGGAGTGGCGTCTCCGGCGGAGCTTCGTTGGGAAGGTAGTATCGGTCTTTGAATTCTGGAATGGAGAACAAGGCCTGCAAGGTACTGTTCAGGTAGCAGCTGTTGCCCAAGTTCTTCAGGCCCGTGAAGTCGGCTCCGAACAATGGCTGCAGTTCCTTGCCGTCTTCGGTCACCATAGCAAAGTCCCAGCGCAAGTTCTGCTCGACCTGCATTTCCGTAAGACTCTTCTCGGTCTTCACCCTGTCCTTGATATTGATGCCCCAGTGTGCTAGGTGGTCCGGTAGTTCTGGATCGATGCGCTCTTCATCACAGGCGTAGCAGTAGATATCAGCCGTGCCATCCGCGGTGAGAGATCCGAGCTTGACTGCGACAGGATGACCAGTCGACTTGGTGTGCCCTACACCGTGTGAGTTGCCACCAACGCCACCGAACTGCTGACGGCCACAACCCAGATTACCGCACGTCAAGCACAGCCAGAGGTTTTCGTTAAGCTCGCACTGTGAGCAATGACCTAGGTTCTGCGATTCGATCTGTCGCGCCGCTTCTTGTTCCAGACAGAGAGTATGTTCGCAAGCAGTCAACTCCTGTTCCCACGCCTTGACCTCCTGCTGCTTCGCGAACGTGTTCGCCTTGAGAACTGCGTCCACAATGTTAGGCAGCTTCCCCGAGCTCTTGTCTACATCGTCAACCCCGCACTCGTAGCACTTGACTTGTGTTGTGGTATCGTAGCGGTCTGCCTCGGTCTCAGCTGCCACGGCAAGCTTGGTCATCTTCTGAGGAGGCTCATCGCGCTTGACCCTCTTTCGCGTGCGCTTGATATTGAGGACGAGGGGGTGGTTCGTGGACGACACGTGGAGGAGAGAGTGGTTGCGATCGCTCGTACACCCACCATTGAAGCAGTAGAGACACACGTCGAGGCCGGTGAGGTCGTCGATCGAGTCGAAGCACTGGGTGCAGTCCTCCCGGTACACAGACTGCGTTGGCCCGGGTGGGTGAAGCTCTGAGACGTGTTAGTACTCTCTAGGGTGAGGATGTAGCCATAGAGCAAATGAAGGCGCCTGAAGCACGTTTGCCACCCTTCAATTCCTTTGCTGCATGAGAATGGAGTCGGGGGAAAGTTTTGGGTGCTTACCGGGCGCGTTTACGTGCGTACAGGCCATGTTCGGTCAAAGTTGATGTGGGCAAGGTACGGTGTTGAACGTCGCGACAGTTTGCATGTAAATTCGGTTGTTATGACATAGGCTAGGCTTCTAGAGCTCCTCCCCGCGGCGGGGCAAACAAAAGTGGATACCTGCCACCAATACCGAAAGAAAGGTAGTCACCACGCGACAGCTCCACTCTGGCTCAGAAGTCACGTCTGAGTTCAAACAAGTTGGAAAATTGTGTTGACATTCCTTTGACTTGATTTCATGGAGAGGATGCCAGACTTGAAGGAGTCTCAACAATTTCATAGATCGAGACTTACACAAGACATGCTATTAGAACTACGCGCCTGTATTTATACATGATCACTTATTTCCCCTGCTGCCGTGCGTTGACAGACCAGTTCTGAAACTGAGTGAACAGCACAGGCTGTAGCGGAGACTTCTTGTCCGCAAACCATTGCTTCTGCGTCTCAGCATAAACGTCCACCACACCAGCATAGTTTCCTTTGTCGAGACCAACAAGGACCTTGACGATATGGAGGCTGGCGGAACCACATGCATCTGCATGGACTTTTGAGCCGTTGCCTAGCTTCGCTTCCTCGTGGACACCTTTCAGCAACTCCCATACGTCCTCGACGTTCTCTGGCTTCGGGAGAGGTGCTTTGCGCTTGGTGCGGGTGTCGAAGAACGACTTTAGCATCTTGGCCGCTTTGTCTGCTGTCTGCTTGTTTGCGTTCGCGCGGGTGCGACGGAGTACTGGGAGGAGGATTTCCAGAGTGAGGGCGTTGGAGTATTGCTTCTCCATGTACACAGCAAGTAGATCCAGGACCCTTGACTTGAACTGTACGACATTCTGCTTTGCGTCCGTTCGCTCCTTCTTCTTGCTGGTTGTCTTGCTGCGCTCCTTGAAGATCTTGCTGAGATGTGGATCAAGCGCCATCATCTGGTCGTCATCCATGTCTGACTCGTCAGATGTCTCTTCTGCTGCCTCTCCGTCGATGGTCGGCTTTGAGGTCTGGAGGGTCATAGCGAGCATGTTGTCGAACTGAGTCAGCTCTGCGTCTTCCTCCTCACTTGCGTCGCTATCGTCATCGTCAGAGCCTGATTCGGAAGCATCGTCGCTGTCCGGCTCTTCTCCATCAACCATCTCAACGTCCGAGTCGTCTTCATCGTCATCGCTTGAGCCTTCCTCCTCCGCGTCTTCATCGCCCTGATTGAACAATTCTTTCTGTCCTTCAAGGTTCTCTTCGGTATCCAGGATCTCAGTCAATGAGCGCAACCCTTCGGCACTGATCTCGGATGCGAATATAGAGAAAGCTTCTTCTCCGATTCGTCGGAACAACGTTCGTTCATTTCCTGAGAAAGAGAGTACGATCTCGACGAAAGCATTCTGGCCATCGGAAGTTGAAGCCTTGCTCTTCTTCTTCGATGACGCCTTTCGTGACGCCTCGAAGGCTTTGTAGGAAGCATCAAGGTCATCGAGCATCATGACGGCATCGCCCTCGCCGTTGTAGGCTTGCAAGAGAGTCAGCGAGTAAAGAAGCAGGAAGCCCTGTGCTGCCAGCTCATTGCCAGCTATTGATCCCTGGTGACACTGCGTTAGTAAAAACAACAACAACAACGGGAGATAGTATACATACTGTCGCAAAGATGGCGTCAATGGTGCTAAGCGCCT